CGCACATGCACACACACGTACACACGAGTGCACACGCACGCACATGCACGCACACACTCATATGACATACTGGGTCAGGTTGTCTCCAGTGTCCTTGTGTCTTCCAGTCTTATATCTGCCCCATGACACTACCTGTAGATTTATTCTCAGCTCTGCCCACGGACTGCAGACTCCTTGAAGACAAAGACTGTCTTCTCCCCTCCTGTAGCCTCCGTTCCTAACGGGTGACTGGAACGTGTCAGTACCCAATAGGATACTTCGCATGGCACAGAGTGAGCGGGAGGTGACTGGGCTCACTCATCCTGTTCCCCACCCCAGGCCGTAGCTCTTCTCTCGGAGGGCGCATCAGATGCTTTGAAAATTCTAGATCAGCATTCAAGCATGGCATCCCTGCAAAGCTAGGCTAATGTTCTAGCATGCTCTGAGCTCTTAAATGGGTTGTGCTTGGTTAGTTGTTTCCCTGGAGGTGCAGGATTCACGAAACCCAGAGAGAAGCAGATCCATTGGCTCCAGTCTCTGGTTTTCAATGTCAGGGAGAGCTTGGTGGGGATGGTCCTCTTTCCTTCTCATAGTAATTAAGTAATTCAGAAAGACAAGTCCTGATTGCTCTACTATGTTCCCAGCCATGTGCTCAGCCACAGATGGACCAAACAGGTAAGCAGTGTTCTTGCCCTGAGAACTTGGGATCTAATCAGAGATGAGGGCAGGCAAGCCCCCGTCACAGTCTGCGCCCCGTGTAGCCGTGGGAGTTGGATGGAAGGTGGGTGTTGGGAAAGCGGTGACTGTCTGTTGGTCTGTGTGGGAGGTGCTTGGTGGAGGTGAGAGCCCCAGGGAACTGAGAGGACGCAGGAGGGAGGCAGAAGGGACCACAGGGCGCAGAGTGGTGGGTGGATGGGTTGGACCAATGTTGAACAGCAGCTCTTGTACCCTTTCCTGTTGAAGACCCCCACTCACAGACCTCCTATGGCTTCTGTTCCCACTCTGAGTAACAGCTGGATCACAGCCAAGGCCTCAGAGGCCACCTCAGCCAGGAGGCTTCTCCGACCTCAGTCCCCTGGTCTCCCCATCACCCACCCCCTCCAGCACCCCTGATGTCCTTCCTGTTTCCTGCATGTGTCTCTTCTGCCTGGACATGCTTTCCCCTCAGAAAACTGTATGGCTTTCTCCTTTACCTCCTCTAGGTCTTTCCTAGAGGAAAGTAACCCCTCCCCGCCGTGAGGGCTCCCCTGTTCACTTTATTTAAAAAAATCCCACTTCTTTCCTCACACAGACCATGGGATGGACTGGAAGCTCCCCCTGACCACGCCAGGCCCCTCTCCTCTTTTTTCTGGTCACCTGGTTGCCCAGTAAAGACAACATTCCCAGCTTCCCTTGCAACCAGGTTGTGTTCCCGCGAGTGATTTCTGTAACTTCTCCTCACTCACCTGAAAGGAAATGTTTGCCTTAGGTTTCTCTTCTTGACCACTTTCCCTCAGGCTGGACCCTGGACATGCCAGTGACCTGGCTTCAGCTATACGCATGAAGACATTATCTTAGGGGAGGGCAGAGCAATGATGCAGAAGGCATCCAGGTGCCTGAGTGACTCTGCAGAGCAGAGGTGCTGAGAGAGAGGAGTAACTTCCTAAGTTACCATGGACAGGATCTCTCTGTTTTGACTACTCAGCCTGTACTTGACCTCCACCTCTCCTCCACCAATTCCCTGATTCATTATTTATACTTATTATATATCTATTGTATTATATATTTCTCATTCTACCCAGCACTTAACAGCACCTAACAGACCCAGTGCTTTCCTTCGTCGGCTTAGCGTGTCTTCCTTCACTGGAATGTAAGTTCTCAAAGGGCGGGCATGTTCTGTGTCTGTGTTCACCCCTACATCCCCAGCGCCTAGTACAGTGCCCCATTCACAGCTGGTGCTCAAGTAATACATCCTGAGTGAAATACTGTTGGCCACTGAAAGAGAAATCCTAGTTTTTTCCCCCCTTAAAAGAGATTCAGTACATTTTGAAAAATACTTGTAGGTGGGCAGGGAGAGGCTGGGGGATGGAAGGGAAAAGTGAGGGAAAACAGCAAGGAATTTCACGGGTGGAGGGTGGAGGGTTGAGGGCGGGGCTGGAGCCCAAGGAGGGGCCTTTGATCTCCTGGTTTCAGAGGAGACTCCGAGGCTTTGTGGCATTGGTTTTGGAGAAGACATCTGTATAAGAGAAGAAGGGAGACTAAAGAAGTTGTTTTCCCACTTAGTAGTGAGTCAGTGATGCTCTTGCCTGCACCCTATTCTCTTCCTCTTCCTGAGAAGAGTACATATTATAATATATTCAGGACAATTCGTTTGGTAGAACCCTTGAGGTGGAAGATAGGAGCACGGTGTTTGTCAGAGGCCTTCCCTGGCTCCGTGCTCTTGAATCAATGGATCATCCTCCTTCTCCTTCATCAGCCTCATTTGTAGGACTTCTCGTCTTTGTCGTGAGACATTATGGGCTGAATTGTGTCCCCTCAAAATCGATATGTTGAAGCCCTAGCCCTTAGTACCTCAGAATGTGGTTACATTTGGAGAGAGGCCCTTTAAAGAGACAATCACCTTCAAACGGGGTCATCAGGGTGGTGTTCCTCTAAGAAGACGTGGAGGGGGACACCCAGGGTACACACACAGAGGGACCACTGGAGGACACAGGGAGAAGGTGGCCATCCTCACACTGGGGAGAGAGGACTCAGAAGAAACCAAACCCGCCAACACCTTGATCTTGAGCGTCCAGCCTCCAAAACTGAGAAAATAGACCCGTCTTGTGCACGCCCCTGCGCGTGGTATGTGGTTAAGGCTGCCTTAGCCGACTAACACAAGAGGTACCACAGAAAACACAAACTGGTGTGTTGTGGCGGCCACCCTAATGTTTGTCTTCTTAAGTTGCATGAATAGAAGCAAATTATTCAGAATAACTTGTCAGTCCCATCATGTGCTGGTCAGAAACAAGCTTTGCTAGGGAGGCTTTTCTAAGAGCATTGCTGGCAAATATAACAGGCTTCTGCAAGAAGTATTTCATGAGGCTGAATGACAGCTTATTAGAACTATCAGGGGACTCCAGCATAGACCCCGTGTTTGGACCAGAAAAACGTGCATGTTCTTTTGAATCCTGATAGTCTCTGTACAAATGGATTGCCCTCTGGTTGGAGAACGGAGTTCAGTACTACACAGATCTCCTAAAACATGTGCATGGTCAAATATTTTTCAGCTTTGTTGATTTGATGGCTAGTAGAAAAGCTTTAGAAAATTTACTGAGAAAAAAATGAAATAAGTATTCAAAAGGCAGAGGTCGGTTATAGGACCTCGGAAATGTGCAAGGGTGCCCAACTCAGATTCCGGACCCCCCCACCCCCAGTACGAGGTTAGCAAGAATGAACTTGTGCCAGTCAAAATCTCAAACCTACTGTGTGCAAAGCTGCCATCTCAATTTGAGAAAGCATAAACAAATACCAACACCGAGCTTGACTTACCTACTAAAAGTTAACCTTTTCTGAAAGAATTTGTTAAAATTACTCCCAGTAAAAAGATGACACAGTAAACTATAATTTCCCAATGACCATCAGTACGTGAGATTTTGAGAAAGTCGATAGAAGCAAGGGATGATTTGGCGGCGGTATCAGAAACACGGTTTGCTGCGGAATAATGGGGTGCCACTGGTTGTGAAGTGCCGTCTCCCCGCACCACCTCCTTAGTCCACCCCTCAACTACAGGGCGGCCAGCCTCTGGCGGGGCAGCAGGGGCGGCATGAGGGGAAGTGGGCCGCACCGCTGAGGGTGCCGGGCTGCGCTCCGGAACGCGCGCGCGGAGGCGCACCCTCCCCCCTGAGAACTGGGAGCAAACACCCGACCCCCTTGGGTTGCGACCTCTCCAGAGGCCTCCCTTCTTCGGGTACCCAGCCTTCTGCAGCTGCACGGGCCGCGCCCCCCCCCCCCAGTTTCCCCGCGGAACAGCGGCCCCGAGCGCAGACAGCGCAGAGGCTCGGAGGGGCCGGGGCGTCTCCAAGGCGCGGGCCTCGGCTCGGCGCCCCCCAGAATCCCGAAGGGCAAACGTCGGGGTGCGCGGGGAGGGGGAGAGTCTCAGCCGCCTCGGTCACCACGCGGGCCCTAAGGGGACACACGGAGCCTTGGCGGGGACCGAGGGCGGACGTGTCGCGGCCTCTCCGCGGGGGTGGGAGGCGCCCGGCCGCGCACGCGGGCCCGGGGCCCCAGGCCGGAATCGGTCCCGCGCCGCTCGCCGGGGGCGGCACAGGCC